TGACCAAGGAGACAGCCACTCTGTCCTCTGGTCTTTCCACCTCGAGGATGCTGCCAACATTAAGTTGATCTGAAAAAGCAAAACCCACTTAATACAGTGCCATCGAGGCGATGCCGACTCATAGCCACTCTGCAGGACATGGGAGAACTACCGCTGTGGGTCTCTTTACCGGAGTGGAAAGCACCCCGTCCTTCCCATCTGAAAACAGACGCCCACCCATGCTTAAGAACTAGATGCATCCATGCTGCTTATCACGACACTAAGGAGCCGCCTTAAGTGAGAGTTGGGTTTTATCAATGTATGTCAGCCCTTTCCTTAGAAAGAAACGCCTCTCCTGAAGCGCTTACTATATGGCAGGCCCTGGTCTAAACATTAGCCCATCAAATTCTTCTTTCCAGCAGCTGTCTGGAATCAATTCGATCCTGATTTTACGTTTTACAAATGACAAGACTGAGGCTCAGAGAGGCAGGCGCTGTGCCCCTCAAGTGACACAGCTGGAAGGTGGAGGGGTGGGGCTGGGGGTAGGTGGCACCAAGTTCAGTTAGGTGTGTGTTGTCCCCGCTGTTCCTGCATCTCCCTGCTTGGGGGAGGGGCTGATGGAAGACTGGGTTCCCTCTTCTGGACCACCCGTCTTTAGCACGGTGGCATTCTGGAATCTCTTTACTTTTCTCTGGAACCGTTTCCTCTGAGTTGATGGTTCTGTTTCTCAGACTAGTCAAGTCAATGGTCCTTGGAGTAGCCTTTTGTGTTTGATCGAACGCCCCAGGTGTGTAGTTTAAAATTCTTGCTTACTGCAGTCTGCTTCAGCCAAGCCCCTGTGCCCATGTCTGTGGCCCTGTCAGCTGAAGGAAAGGCCCAGAGACTAGTCCAGCAAGGACAAGGACCCGGAGGTCAGCATGTAAAAGTCTGCTGGCCTGGCATCTGCAACGCTCATGCTATCAGCAGTTACTCGGAGTTTGCCCACCTGGCAGCGCTATCCCTGCACAGTACCGGGGTGCAGAGGGTACTGGACATTACTCTTAGATAGTTTCTGGAAGCTGGAAGACCAGGGAAATAGCTAGACTTCCTCCTCTTTATCTGAATTCTCTGGGAGGAACATGTGGTCCATCTGAGCTGACCCCTGCTGGGTGGGGCGGCAGTGCCCAGGGATGCTTACCACCTGGACCGTGCAGATCTAACGGGGGTCGGTGTTTGGCACAGCGCCTGCTCATAGGTCATGAGGTGTTTGGAAAGGGGCAGCTGTGTGAATATGGGGGTCACGGGCTGAAGGGTGCAGCTCCTCTAAGTCGCTGGGGGTGGGGCAGGGGAGTGAGACAGCACTGCTCTCTGGGGGAACCTCCAGGGAGTCTGGGCCCTATTCATTTCAGAGCAGAGTCTTAAGTTTAGCCTACTTGGGAGCTACTGGTTGTTTTCAGAAAATACGTCACCTCCTCTCTGGAGCTAGAGGGAATGTTGCTTCATTTCCGGCTTCAGTGAGCGTTAAGCCCAGGTGGGTTTGGGATCCAGCAAGGTGATGCCATGCAGAACTTGGCACAGCACCGGTGGTATTCAGTAAAGGTTGTAGGACTCATTCACTCATGCACAGGTATTTACCAAGCACTTGCTATATGGAGCAGACACTGCTCTCCGTATTTGAAGCGTATCAGTGAGCAAAAGAGACCAAAGATCCCCCACTCAGTGGACCTGCCTGCTAAGAACAACAAATAAAGTAGAGCTCTAGGTAAAAGGTGATGAGTACAAAAAGAGGGGAAAAAGCTCAGCCAGGCAAGAAAAATCAAGAGGGAGAGGGAAGGTCGAGTGGCCAATTGTAGCTGAGTGTATTCTGGCATGTGGTTTAGTTGGGAATATGATAGAAGAAATAGGGGTCTGAGTTACTGGTGCCGTGTTCAAGTCCTGGTCCTGCTAGCTTGCTGTGTGACTTTGCCTAAGAGCCTTCCCTTCCAAGAGCCTCTCTTCCCGAGAGTCCCGGCTCTGCCATCTACTGGTTGTGTGACCTTTGGCATGACTGCTGCTTTGTGCTTTTAAGGGTCTTTAGGCCTGACACCCTTAGTCTGAATTTCTGCTTAGATGTCTCCCCTCTAGGGCCAGTCACTGCCTCTAGCCTACTAACCCCAGGGACGACCAGCCTGAGGCAGCCCCAAACCTTTGCCCTGCCGAATGCACTGACAGCCAAGATGGCAGGGAGTTTAAATTGAGCAGAACTGTTATCCCTGAAGAATGACTAAGAAGAGGCTCTTCCTGCCCCCCCACCCCGACACCCCCACCGCCTGCCCCAAGAGGCTGTCCCCACTGTCCTGATGATGCCACGCTTCCCTTGGAGTCTGACTGCTTACATTGGGGCAGGTCAGGGTCCTGCACAGGGCAGGCTGACCAAGTCTGTTTGAGAGGCTGTGCAGCCAACAGTTCAGAGCACTGGCCCCCAGGCAGGCAGTCCTGGGTTTGAATGCTGGCTCGCCTGCTCAGCTGTGCCACCTGAAGCCAGTTAGCCCACCTCTTGTCGCCTCGGTTTGTCCACCTTTACTGGAACTCACGATGGTGCTGACCTTCAGGGGGGGCTGTGAGGCTTTTGGGAGGCCACACAATTAAGAGTGTGGAGCTCTCCGGAAGAGGGGACGGCTGAGTGAAGCCGAGGGACTTGTGAGGAGGCCTGGGGGGTGTAGGAGGCAGGACGGGATGAGCCACTGTCCCGTCTCCTTCAAGAGGATGGTGGGCTTTTCTGTGGGGGGACAGTAGAGCTGTTTGGTGGTGTGCTGGAGAGTAGGGGAAGGGAACTGTCATGTGTGGTGCTGCTTTGGGCACAGGAAGGGATGTGAGGGGCAGGGAGCGCTGGTGTGGTGGAGATCCTTGGGAGCCTGTGGGTGGGCGCTGTGCAGGTAGGAGGCTCAGCAGTGGCAGCACTCCTGTCCGGAGGGACTGGACTCGGTGGTGGGACCTTCCAGGAAAATGAGGAGCAGGCACCCACAGGCCCTGCCCCTCAACTTTGCCCCTGTGAGTGGGAGCACACAAGAAAGAAAGGCCTTGCTGTCGTCAAGAGGAGCAGCCTGAGAGTGTGACCCGGGCCTGGAAGAGGGGAGCTCTCTGCCAGGCACGCCAGCCCTCTCTCTCCCTTTTCCTCGTGCTCTCTTGTCCCCGCAGGAGAGGCGGGACTTCCGCTGGGTCAACCTGCATTCATTGCCTGCTGTGTGAGCTACTGGGATTAGCACAGATGGGTTGGTGGCCTCTAGGGGGCTGTAGGCAGACAGCCTAGTGTGGTTCCAGCTGCATCAGTTCCTTGCTATGTGACCCCGGCAAGTGACTTTCTCTCCAAGCCCCTGTTGTTGTTTTGTAAAATGAGCAACAACAGCCTTTGCTCTATGGGCATTTGACAGGAGGGGTTGGGGGAAGCTTGGGCGGGACCCTAGAGCGCCTGTTGTTGCGGTTGGGTTGCCCTTTCCCGAAGACGTCCCCCAGCAATCCCTGCTCCCCCTCAAATGAGAAAACCTGCTGAAACCTCCAAGTTTGGATAAAGGGAAACGTTCCCGAGGCTGTATGAGTGCTAGCAACAAGAATGCAATGAACTCTCATTTACCCTTCCCGAGATTCACCTAGACAGTATTTTTACATACTTTGTGTATCTTTATGGAGCGTGGTGGTGCAGTGGATGAAGCATTGTGCTGCCCTCCAAGAGGTTAGCGGTTGGAACCCCCCAGCTGTTGCGATGGACAAAGCTGAAGCAGTCGGCATGCGCCGAGGTTTCAGCCTTGGAACCCCTGAAGCCGCCCTACTTCCTGCTCTCCTGTAGGGGGCGCGGGGTCAGGATTGACATGATGGCAGTGGGTACTGTATCTTTGGATGAGCCCAGGTGGCAGAGTGGGTTACTTGTTGAGCTGCTAACCACAAGGTCAGCAGTTTGAAACTCCAGCCGTGCCACGGAGAGAGAGAGACAGAGAGAGACAGAGACAGACTGACTTTCCACAGTCTTGGCAACCCTGTCCTATCTAGTCACTATGAGTCAGAATGAGCTTGATGTCAGTGCGTGTGTGTGCCTTTGAGTGGATGTCTGAGATTTCCAAGATTTCCAAATGTGGTGAAGAAAGGTGATGGTGTCCGGCTATCAAAAGATAGAGTGTCTGGGGTCTTAAGGGC